AATTTCTTGGCATCGGCCATAAGCAGGAGCATCTCCGAGTCTGCTCCGAAGTTTCCGTGGGAGCAGGGCATTTGGGCTGCTCTGCCGTCTCATTTGAAGCCAACACTCAAGCATCATTCTGTGGGAGTCGGAGATCTTTTTGTTCCTTCTGCTCAGCCGGCTGTGATGGCTCCGACTTCCATGCCTAAGCACTCGTATCCAGACTTCGTCAGGAAGAGGCTTCGTCTTAGCAATCTACATCGTGATGAGTCTGAGGTCCGTGCCTTGCAGCTGAGAAAGCTTCGTACCATTGTCCTTCAGGACCCTTCTTTATCAGAATTGGGTTGTGCCTTGGTCAACGCGGCCGGGGCCCTTCAGGACGAGGAAGTGGTGGCCCGCAGCTTCCGCGATGCATTTGTTTCGAAGAGCACCGGCACACTTTTAAAGCGAGTTTCTTCTTTGTGGAGCTGCTGCTGCTTCCTCAACGACACAGGGGTTCCTCCTTTGGATTTCCAGGAGGAGATTCTTTATGAGTACCTGAGCCTTCTTAGGGAGCAGAAACGGGGAGCTACGGCCGCCTCGTCGGTGCTCTCTGCCATTAGGTTCATTCATGGGGTTGTTAAGATCAAGGGTCTACCGAAGGAGGTCGAGTTCTCATCGCGGTGCGAAGGTCTGGCTCGTGGGGAGATGGCTCGGAAGAGGCCCACCAAACAATCCGAGGTCCTCACGGCTGACCAGGTGTGGGCCCTCGAGAAGCATGTGGTTGATTCTGCCCCCAGCCTGGATTCTTTGATAGGGGGCCAGGATCTTTTCGCCCTCTACTCGTGTGCTAGGTGGGATGATTCTCTCCATCTGGCTGATATCTCTCTTTCGAGTGCTGGTCGCATCTACTTGGTAGAAACTGCAACTTCAAAACACAAGACTTCGCATGCTGCACGTGACAGGTCGATTTTGCGCCCCCTGATATGTTTAGGGAGGGGCCTCTACCATAAGCCGTGGGCGGATGCTTGGTTAGCTTCGCGCCGTCACTTCGGCCTCGACTCGACGGGCCCTGCTTTGCCAACTTACTGCGAGAGGACTGGCAAATTCGGCAAGGCGCCTATGTCTTCCACCGAGGCTACTTTGTGGCTTCGCGACCTCTTGTGCAAGGCGGGATCGTCGCCCAGTGAAGTCGAGGACATCACATCTCATGGTTTGAAGGCCACGCTTCTTTCATGGATAAGCAAACTTGGAGGGTGGAGCGAGCGTGATCAAAAGCTGATGGGCCACCATTTCGATAGGGAGTCCAGGTCTGTGCTCATCTACAGCAGAGACAGCTACACTCCGCTCGCCGTCCAGACTCGCCGCTTGTTGGACAAGATCCTCGATGGCTCCTTTTCTCCTGATCGCGGGAGGGCTCGCCGAGTCATGGAGCTTCTAGGTGAGACTTCAGGCGAAGAGGAGGACCCCGACTTAGGTGAGTACGTACCTTCTGAGTCTGGATCCGAGCCGGACTTGAACGACATTGATCCCTCGACAGCTTTTGAGCCGAGTGACCGCGTGAAGGAGATCGCGGTCCCTGAATCGCTGGCTTCGGTTCCTCGACAGCACTTGTATGTCCACAACATCTCTGGGATCATGCACGCAAGTTTTGACCTGCAGAAACTTTTGTGCGGCCGCCCCCTCAATCGTCATTACTCCGGCTTGGAGGATGTGACTTCGCAAGAGGGAGATGTGCAGGCCTGCAAGCACTGTAGCGTAGTTTTCTCGAAGGACTGAGATTCGGTCAGGAGCCTAGTTCGAAAATGTTGTGCAACATTTTGATCTGACCGGCGCGGGCTTGCTCACGGTGCTGCTCGTACTCTTGACGTGTCCGGGCCCATCAATCTTTGATGATACACTGCCCGGCATCGTGTCGTTCCCAGGCAATTGGATTTGCCGGGATCGTGCCATCGGAAGGGGACCTAATTCCCTGGCAAATACAGCGGAGGGGGTTTCACATCGTGGTGAAACCGTGCCCCCCTTCGCGCTGCGGGAGCTGTGCCATCGGAGGGGACCGAGTTCCCTGGCAAATACAGCGGAGGGGGTTTCACATCGTGGTGAAACCGTGCCCCCTCCTTCGCGCTGCGGGAGCTGTGCCATCGGAGGGGACCGAGTTCCCTGGCAAATACAGCGGAGGGGGTTTCACGTCGTGGTGAAACCGTGCCCCCTCCTTCGCGCTGCGGGATCTGTGCCATCGGAGGGGACCGAGTTCCCTGGCAAATACAGCGGAGGGTACTCGTCTATGACGAAACCGACTATCCCTCATCGTTTCTGGAGCCTCGCTGTCTGCGAAACCAAAGCTTCAGCATCGTGTCGTTTCCTGCTGTGTGTGACACGCCCTGCACATCTTCAGTGCGTTTGGCCTGGCATGTGACATCCATTGAGCCAAACGATGGGCAGCGGCGGCTTACAGCGACCACATAGCTGAGCCATGGCCACCTCCGAGTTGGACTCAGCTGTTGAGTTCAAGCGGCGAGCTTTGCAGCTCGGGGTTTCGGCCACCAACGTGGATGCCTTGATAAGTGCTGGCTTCACAACGTTTGGGCAGTACGCTTTCAGTGTTCCGTATCAGCCCGGAAATAGCGATGAGACCCCTTTGATCGATCTCTTCACCACTGTCCTGAGTGGAACACCGGATGCGGGGCAGCTTTCGTGCCTTCGCCGCTTGTTCTGGGAATCTCATGGGCTAGCCATTCGTGATCTACGGCTCAGGCAGGAGCATGGGGCCGAGACAGTTCTCAAGAAGCTCCCTACGTCGGAGCGAGTTGCTCGGTCCGAGTCCCAGCGAGCCCGTCTATCAGGATTGACTTGGTCCCCGGAGACAGAGCCTTCGCATCAGTTAGTGGATCGCTTCGTGACCATGGTGGAAGAGCAGACAGTGACTTACATTCGACCTGAGCTTTGCACCAGTCGCGCCCTGGAGTCTTTGCAAATCAAGCAGGCCAAGACCTTCGCCCTGGGATCAGACGGCCAACTTCGGGTAGCAACAAAGGGGGACGACCTTGAATGCTCCACGGCTGGCGAGTGGAAACTTCGCATGGCCCTTCAGAGAAAGGCTCTTGCCTGGCTTGGTGAGCTTCCAGGTTGCTGAGACTTGGCACACGTACCTCTACACCGTCCGCGAGCGCGAGGTCCCGAAGAGCATGAAGCAAGTCAGCCTTCAACAAATTCTTGATGCCGATAAGCGCCTTTGGGTCCTTCTTGCAGAAGAAGTTCGAGGGAAGATTGTATCCCGGCCGGGCGGCACGCCAACTTGTGATCCCATCATCGAGCGCCTCAGCTCCTCAAGCGATGTCCTCTCCTACCTCGTCCCTCAGCCCGAGATTCGAGTTCCTTCAGTTCCTCGGTGGGAACCTTACACCCCCAACAACGGAAAAGGGAAAGGCAAAGGGAAGGGGAAGGACAAAGGCAAGACGACGACCCCTTCGGACTCGTCGGCGAACATCTCCATCCCAGACGGTGCTCACACGAAGACTGCGGATGGCAAGCCTCTTTGCTTCCTATACAGCCGCGGCAAGTGTTGGGCCAAGAAGAAACCCGGACAACGGTGCGCCAAGGGATATCACCTTTGCTGGTTTTGCCTCAAGGAGCATGCCGGCTGCGATTGCCCGAACAAGGGCAGCTGACTCAAGGAATCCTCAGATGATCCTGTTAGATCTCGAAGTCCACCTCCTCGGGAAGGGAGCCAATCTTCTGCCACCGCCGAATCCTTTGCGGAGAGCCTTCTCAAGCTGGATCGGTCAGTGACTGCCGAGGATGTTGTAAAGCTTTTCGATTTCCTTCCTCAGGAGGTTTATAGTGGGTCTCGGGATCAAGGCAACAGCACCGGTGGGTCCTTTACCACTGGACTCTACTGCAGGGTCAAGGTTTCACTAAGACGTAATTCCCAGCTGTACCCGAATTCAACAGCGGTCCTTTGCAAGTTCGTTCGCCAGGTTCATGCCGATCACATTTTCACATCAATCATTCTATTTGACTCCGTTTCAACTGCCATGCACGTTGATGCTTTGAACGCTCCTTGCGATAACTTGGTAGTCGGTTTGACCGACTTTTCAGGAGGCGATCTTTGGGTCGAATGGCCCGCTACGGTTCCTCGGAATCCTCACCTCAGGTATGAAACTCGTGAGTTCGATTCAGGTTCGGCCGTCGGGGCCCTCCTTCCAGTGTCACAGCATCCAGCTCTGTTCTGTGCCAAGCGCTTGCGGCATGAGACCTGTCCTTTTAAGGGTCGTCGGGTTATTCTAGTTGCGTATAGCTTGCAGGCTTCCGATCAAGCCAGTCCCGAAGATCAGGGAGCCCTGATCGGCTTGGGCTTTCGCCTGCCTGGGCCTGGTGACTTGCAGAACCCTAACCCTAATCCCCCTAGGCTGCTGCATGGCACGGATGGCGCCCCTCGCGCTTCGGCCTCATTCGCTCAGGTGTTCTCAGGTGATGGGGCTTTGGCCTCAAGCTTCAACAGAATCGGATGGCAGACCATAGCGATCGATCAACATGTGGTTCCGGGGCGACACAAGCACCAGCCCCTTGTTTGTGAGTTGTCGAGTTCCACTGGCCAGGACTTTGCTTTGCATATTCTAGAGGACTTTGGGCCGACCTTTGTGTACATTCGGCCTCCCTGTCGCACTGCGAACAAAGCCCGTGTCAGGTCATTGCCGTCTTCACACCCAGCAGTTGACAAGTGCCCGCCTTTGAGGTCACATGACAAGCCCTGGGGTCTTGCAGACCTTAACCCTAGACAGTCGGCACAGGTCCAAGCAGAAAATCGCCTCTTTCGCTTCTGTGCCAAGGTTCTCGTGTGGGCCCTCGCTAAAGGGGCCTTCGTTTGCATTGAGAACCCTGATGGCTCCCTGTTTTGGAGCTGCCTTGAATCTCTTCCAGAGTTTCAGTCTTGTCAGGCCTCCCTGGAGGCTTTCTGCGGTGACATGTGCATGCTTGGAGGTTCTAGGCCAGCTTCGATCAGGTTCCTCACCAACATTTCTGCGCTTCGGTCACTTGTTCACATGTGCCCCGGAGTGGGCGACGAGCACAAGCATGCCCCCTTTGGGTTTTTGTGCAAAAACGAACAACACCCTTCGCAGTTTGTGCAACTTGTGATCCAGGCTTGTTGTCAGGAGATCTCCTTCACTCCACCTCCTGCCCTGGCTCGGCCAGGAGATGAGGTGCGACAAACACGTAAGTCTCGTCAGCTTATGCCTGAGTTTTCCAGCATCAAGTGGCTGCGTCGTGACGACTTGCCTAGTTGCCCTCATAAATGCCTCCGGCCGGAGCAGGGGGCCCATCGCGGGGCCTTCAGCATTTCTGAGGGGTCTTTTGAGGGTCTCTTGGGTTCGTCGGTTTCTTCTGGTCCTCTTCCTTCTGGGCCCTCTTCGGTGCCCCCTTCGGTTTCGACTTCGGAGGTTTCTGACAAGATCCCCATAGGCATTTATGCGACTCCCGAGGAGTTCGTGCAGCGAGCTCGTGCTCTTCAACACCCGATGGCGGGTCCCAGCGTTGTCACGGACTCCTTCAAGAGAGCCCTGTTCGCTAACCTCACTAAAACCCCTGCCGAGGTTGCAAGCTTGAGAGCCTCCTTCCTTGAGCATGTAACACATTTGACGGAGAAGCTTCGCCCCGATGAGGAGGCTCTACATCGCTCTTTCTCTCCTGAGCTTCAGAAGGTTCTTAAAGGAAAACGACTTCTCCTCTTTAAGACCTTGCTGGAAGAGTACCGGTACGACGATGTTGGGGTCTGGGAGATGCTTCGGGACGGCCCTTCCTTGACTGGCACTCAGGACCATCCTCCCTATGCCGATCGTAGTTTTCGCCCAGCAACAGTTAGCACCGAACAGCTAGAGCGTGAATCTTCCTGGAGGCGGAAATTTGTGACCTCCAAAACTTCTTCACCCCAGGATGCTGCTACTCTGACTTCTCTTGGTGAAGGTGAGGTTTCGGCTGGATTCATTTCGGGACCATATCGAACAGCGGCCGAAGTTACTGAGGCTTTGGGAAGGCCCGACTGGATTGCAACTCCACGCTTTGTTTTGCTTCAGGGCTCCAAGGCCAAGCCCCGGGTTATCGACGATTGCAAATCTTCGGGTCTGAACTCATCTTTCTCCTCCACGGAGCGCCTTCGTCTGCAAGACCTCGACTATGTGGTGGCGATGATCAAGCTGGCTGGCAAGATGTCGGGTCGGCACAAAGTTCGTATGGATCTTTCCACTGGTGATGTGCTCTGTGGTGATCGAGTGCTTCCCTCCGGCTCTGAGTGGCTTGGTCGATGTGTGGATCTAGCCAAAGCCTACAAGCAGATGGCTGTTCCTCGTTCCCAGCGCCACTTGGTGGTGCTCTGCCACCACGATGAACAAGGACTGCCTCTGTACTACATCTCGGAGTC